AATCACCCAAAATACATCTCCATTTTTTAATGTTCACAAACGACACCCCGATTATGATTTCCTCAAAATATTTGGTTGCTTATGTTTTCCCAATCTTCGTCCTTACAATCATCACAAAATTAATTATCGTTCCTCCCCCTGTCTTTTTATTGGGTATAGCACCACACATAAGGGCTATAAGTGTCTCGACTTGAAGACCCACCGACTATACATTTCTCGTGATGTAATTTTTCATGAAAATTCATTCCCATTCTCAAAGCCCACTACTTCGCCTATTCTTGGATCCGACTCCAATTCCCAGCCCAGTCCTTCTCCCTCTAAGCAAGCCAATCTTCCACTCTTCCCTCAATCCACTCTCGGCCCAACCCCAAGTCAATCAATTCTCGGCCCAGGCCCAAGTCCCTCCATCCTTGGCCCAGGACCTTCACTCTCTCCTCAGTCTTCCCCAACTCCAGCTTCTTCGAATCCCTCTGCAACTCCCAGTTCCCCTCCAATCCCTAATTCTGCAACTCAAACTTCACCTGACCCACCCATTCTTTTTCCCCCTCGTTCACCTATCATGACCCGTTCCCACACAAACTCAGCTCGTCCTCGTGTGCGAACGGACGGTACCATCCCTTTTCCCTCTCGAGCATTTCTTAGCTCCGCTATCCCAGTTCCTGACAATCCAAGCTCCTTCACTATAGCTCGCCAACACCCAGAATGGCAACATGCCATGCAGCAGGAGTTTGATGCTCTGGTTCTGAATACTACCTGGTCCTTAGTTCCATTCAATCCATCTCTTAATGTGCTTGGCTGCAGATGGATTTTCAAAACTAAACTACGGGCGGATGGTTCTATTGAACGGCGAAAGGCACGCCTCGTCGCTAAAGGTTATCACCAACAGCAGGGCCTTGACTTCGACGACACCTTCAGTCCTGTAGTCAAGGCTCCCACCATTCGTCTCATCCTCTCAATTGTCACTGCTAGAGGGTGGCCATTAAGACAGGTTGACATTCACAATGCTTTCCTTCACGGAACTCTTCACGATCAGGTATACATGAAACAACCTCAAGGATTTATTAATCCTCTGTTCCCTACTCACGTATGTAAGCTGCATAAAGCCCTTTATGGCCTCAAACAGGCCCCTAGGGCCTGGTTTGCACAACTCAGTTCTTGGTTGCTCTCCTATGGATTCCTTGCCTCCAAAGCTGATGCCTCTCTCTTTGTTCTTAACTCTGGCGATCTGCACATTTATCTTCTTGTTTATGTCGATGACTTTATCATCACTTCTTCTAAGGCCTCTGCAATTGACAACTTGGTTTGAGATTTAGGCTTGACATTCCCAGTTAAAGATTTGGGGGTCCTATCATACTTTCTTGGGATGGAGATAAATTATCTACCCACTGGTATCCTTGTATCTCAGAGGAAGTACATCAAGGATATCCTCTCTAGAAGTCAGATGTTGAACTCTAGGCCTGTCTCTTCCCCTATGGCTTCCTCCTTACGTCTGTCACAATTTGATTCCCCATCCTTTGATGATGTTACTCAATTTAGGAGTATTGTTGGAGGTTTACAGTATCTATCTCTCACTAGACCCGATATTGCCTTTGCTGTAAACAAGGTTTGTCAATTCATGCACTCACCTAAACTACCCCATTGGATTGCAGTCAAACGAATTCTTCGGTATTTGAAAGGGACAATCAATCTTGGTCTCTTCTTCTCCTCAAATTCATCCTTTAAACTTCAGGCCTACTCTGATGCGGATTGGGCAGGGTGCCCAGATGACAGGAAATCTACTGGGGGTTACTGTGTTTATCTGGGCAGACATTTAATTTCTTGGAGCTCAAAAAAACAGAAGACAGTGGCTAGGTCCAGCACAGAAGCTGAGTACAAGGCTGTGGCCACATCTGCTGCTGAAATCATCTGGCTTCAGACATTAATCTCTGAACTTGGTCTACCATTGTCCCAAGCTCCAATACTGTGGTGTGATAACATTGGTGCCACTTTCCTTGCTGCTAACCCTGTTCTTCATTCACGAACCAAACATGTTGACATTGACTTTCATTTTGTTCGAGATCGGGTAGCAGCCAAGTCCTTAACCATTGCCTTTATAACCTCAAGAGATCAACTCGCAGACGTCCTTACAAAACCATTGGTAGCTGACAGATTCTTCAAACTACGTTCGAGTCTCAATGTCCTTGACACTCCCTTGGACTCGAGGGGGCGTATTAACATAGAGGATCCTGCCACCTCATCAAAAGAGGAAATTGACACGTCACTAAAGGATGACCAACTGAACTTTACATAACTGTACACAATACTGCCTTGTAACAGTAGAGGAACCTGTTGATTTTTCTCTCCAGTCACTGTAACAGCTTTTTAGTCCTTGCACTTTGTATAAATTCTATCATCAATGAAATGAAACTTGTGATTGGAAATCAGCCAAATATGGAAGAATATTAATGACAAAACAGTTTTCAATAAATATTCAACAGAGTGTGTTTTATGGCTGGCTGTCGTTTCTTCTGATCATTTGAGCTTGTGGAGCTATGTCATTTTCATCTGTGATGGGAACGTAATGTCCTGGCTTGAGAACTACACGCCTCAAAATAGTATTGGAGTTGCCGATTCTAACATTGAGAATATAACCAGCATCAAAGGTGGCATCAACGACACCGGTCACTGCCTCACCCACCATATTTTCATTTACATCTACTCTATCTACTTTAACAGGACGGTTTCCTTTCGCTCCATCAAAACCAGGAGGTCCATTTGCAGTTTTAACTTGCTTCAGGTTTGGATCCTTCCAAGGGCGGCCACGTCCCCTCTTCGCTGGCAGAACTGAAGGGGCACCAGAGTTGTCACCTTGGATAGCTTGATTCATTTTCAGAAATTACTGCTAGCTGACAACTAACGCTCGTTTAGATCTTTGGCCCTGCAATTAGGGATTTTACCTCACTTCACCTTCCCAGATGATGATGATTCTAGGTAGTTGTAACAGTAAATCTCATAAAATGGAAATGAATTCACCTATTTTCATTTATTCAGTTGAACAAACAAATTACACTTCGAAAGCAAAAAATGCATCTAAGTTAATATTTGAGGCTTCAACATTAGCTGCTGCTACTAGGGGATTAGACTGTTAGTTATGAACTCTCACGCAAGAATTGGCGAAACAATGAAACGAAGTGCATTAGGAATCATCGAAAAATACTATTAAGAACTGAACTATGCAAAAATAGTGAAAACTAATCTGAATCGACCTTTTGGCACTTTATCTTGTGCAATTTTTAACTGCCTTTGTCCACCTAATCATATTTATGCGGATTTGCACGGTAGGGGTTGGATCGACATAATAATCAAATTAAAAGGAAAATAACACAAACAGAAAGAAACAATATGCAACAAAAAGTTTAAAGATCTAGACCATAATTGAAAAATGGCAGACATGAATGCTAGGGATCAAAAAAAAAAAACCTCTGGAGCGCTGTTTGATTTTTTCTCAGTAAAAAAATAAGCTGAGGAAGGAGCAAGTTGATCCCTATATAAGCTGTGGAAGGAGCAACGTTGTATACATTTACAGAAACATAGCCAAAAACATAGTCATTAACAGAAGTGTGGTAAAATGCATCGAGTTTGTTCTATATGCTTATGTTCTTCCCTTTGTTTCTTTGTCATTTTGCTTGTAAGAAACACAAGCTATAGGATCAATCTGAGATACTTTAATCTACGGAAATCTTTTCCACTTCTCATGACTGAAGTATTGATTCTTGTTTAGAATTTATGATGTAAGGTAAACAATGTTTTATTATGGATATCTCTTGTTCCATTTGAAAAGTAGGTCTATGCATTTTCCATTTTATGATACATTAACAGTAGCTTAAGAAAAAACACAGCCCATGCAATGCACGGGCATGCGACTTTTATATATATATATATATATAGAGAGAGAGAGAGAGAGAGAGAGAGAGGTTTCAAATTAGTGAATCATAATTCAAATCAAAAAATTCAAAATCGGGAGAGACTGGAGATCCTAATTCATTTCTCATTTTCAATTTATACACCGACTCTCACATGGAAACCAACAGCTACCACCTCTTGTCTATCATCACGTGAATTTATGAAATTGAAGCCCTTAACTTTCGGTTATTCTTTCTCAAATGTTGTTTTTCTTCTTTTTCCTCAATCGATAATGAAACTAGAAGCAAATCAAACCAAACCAAACTAAACCTGAACTGAATGGTTTGGTTCCAATTTTGTTCCGTGTCTTCAAAAAAAAAAAAAAAAACCATTTCGTTTCATTATCAAAAAAATTATTGTTTCATATCATAGTTCGATTTGGTTCGCTTGAAATCATAATTAAATAGAACCATGTCTACCCCTCAAAAAAGATATTTTAATGGTTGTCAAAAGGAGCTTAGTCACTAATGGACCGTTTCTTAATGTTATCTAACACTAGTGTTGATACAATAATGTACTAAACAAAATTACATATGGGAATTTATGATCCATTAACTTTACATAGCGAAGGAAACACACAATCAACGATGTATCTGTAATATACCTTTGGATGATTAAATTGATTTATTTTAATTTAAAATCAACGAACAACTTCACTTGCTGGTGTTAATTTTCGAGAAAATTTAAGAAATTAAAAATTGAAAGCTATGCATATTATCGTTAGAAAATAGTAATGTTTTACATGATGAGACAACAATAGCTGACAACCACATATCATTAACTTGGAAAGAAGATGAAAGTCTGCTGCTATAAACGAGTACATGAACATAGATCTTGTTTATGTACAAGTAGACGACGAGATATATCATCCGATAGTACTTTGTCTCGTATTCCCAAGACTCGGGCTACAAGCCTCTTCTTCACGTTCTGAGCCTCCTCAGGCTGAAACACGGGAAAGCGAAGGACATTATTTGAATGCTAATGCAGGTAAATGGCTAGATGCAAAGAAATGATGATCGAGTACGAAGCAACCTTGCATATTGGCTAGGTGCTGAATCTTAAGCAGTGGCTGCAGCCGCTTCTTCGGCCATCTGGGATACCGGAAGGAGCGTGCAGATGAGGTTCCGGTCACCATACACATTGTCAACACGTCCTGATATGACAACAAAAAAGTGGCAATGCTTATCGATTCAAAGAGAGAAAGGGAGAACACTTAGAACGTGTTTGGCTGAGCCCAAAAGTAAAAAAAGTACAATTTTGAAGTAAAGATTTTCAAAAAAGTAAGTTTAGAATTATAAGATAGGCATAGTTCATAATAATGTGTCTACATCTAATGGAGAACAGATTTAGAACCTGATTCCATGTATCCAAAATTTTGATACTAGCCAGAACTTAATTAGAACCTTCTAATTAGAATTCATAATTCATATTTAAGCAATACCAACTACTCTTACTCAAAATATTTTATAACTGCGAGCAAGTTTCCTTGTGAAAAAGATAGAACATGTACATCTAATTCACGAGTTATGAATGAATAATTTGTTATTGAAAGAAATACCATTGGCATATAACATAAAGTTTATCGAACACACCTGTAGTTGGCCAGAACTTGGCATTCCTGAGCCAGGGAGCAGGGAAGGCAGCATATTCCCGAGAATACGGCTTAGTCCATGCATCGGCCATGAGCATTGATGGTGGATGTGGTGCCCCCTGGATTCGTTACCTCATTTAGTTTCTCCAAAATATGACAGAAGAAAAGGATAACAGAAGTGATCGACAAATAATATACAGAAATGGAACATATAAATGATTGTAAACCCGGCTTTCATCAAATAGAAGCAAGGGTCCATCTGAAGAACTGTATATTCTTATTTCTTACCTTGAGAACATTGTTATGGACATCAGCATTTCCTTTCTCAATTTGTGCAATTTCTTCTCTAATTGAAATGAGAGCATCACAGAACCTGTCTAACTCGGCCTGTGAACGAAATGAGACAGCATTTATTTCACAGTATTAAGGAAGAAAAATCAGGTGAAATCTTGCATTATATAGTCCAGTCATGTCTACCAAACATGCACATGATGGAGAATCATACTCAAAGTTTCTGTGTTTCCCATATACAAGACTACAATTTTCATTAGTTTTACCTTGCTTTCACTTTCAGTTGGTTCAATCATAAGTGTGCCCGGAACTGGCCATGACATTGTTGGTCCATGGAATCCATAGTCCATGAGACGCTTAGCAACATCTTCGGGCTCAATTCCAGCAGTATTCTACAGTAATTGTCACTTTCAGTAAGAAAAAGAGATTATGGAAATTAGAAGGAAGCTGTGCGTACATGTATGTTCAACCAGAATTACCTTAAATCCCCTCAAGTCGACAATGAACTCGTGAGCAACCGTACCATTAACACCACGGAAAAGAACAGGGTAGTGCTTCTGTCAATCCAAAGCATAAAATATTAACAGGGGAAAGAATGATTGCCAATACATTACCATATATCCTCTGAAGTATGAGTATTCATGCTCGAGTTTCAATCAAAAAAGAAATCAGGTACCAAGGTCATATCATATATGAAGCTAAAGGAAGAGAGGTTTGATAGCTTTAAGGAAACATGAACTGAGAAAAGGGAAACACACACATTTTTCTTGGACAATGATTAAAGGCAATGACTGTGCATAGGACCCGTCTATTCTGGTCATTTTTATGGCTTAATAGAAGACCATACATTGAACGTAGTAAAAGGGCTAGGAAAAAGAGACCTCCAAACGCTTTGCCATGTAGTTTGCATTCAATATAGCTATCTTTGATGCTTCTGTTAATCCTTTTGACCCCATCATGGCAATGTAGGTGTATGATATTGGCAAAATGAGTGCAGAGCCCCATGGAGCGGCAGAAATAGTACCGAGGGGCTGAGACTTGTCAGGGGCTGGTATGCCTCCTGTGGATACCTGCAACAACTCAAAGAAGTCACAATACGGACGTTAGAAAAGGAAAAAAACACTTGAACCCACTACAGAATATCTACATCCATGACAAGAATTCACTAAAATTTCCTTCATACATACCACAGGATGTGAGGGTAGAAATGGTGCCAGATGTTTCTTTACACCAATAGGCCCCATGCCGGGTCCACCTCCGCCATGAGGAATGCAGAATGTTTTGTGGAGATTGAGATGGCAAACATCAGCACCAATAAAGCCTGGGCTCGTCAAACCAACCTGTATGCACAAAAGATTTATTAACACGGTAATTAGATTCAGTTTCAGAGTGCAGAATTGAAGGAAAAGCAAAAGAAGCATCAACCAAAAAATGGAGAACTAGAGAAAAAGGGAAAAATCAGTCGCATTTAAATCGACAAGTAAAGAGAAGGTATTCAAAATGAAAATTGGGGAAAAAAGAACGAAGTGAAGAAATGGGGCAAATCAGCACGAAGAAAGCGAATAAGTCAAAATTAATCAATAAAATAAACAAATTATTCTGAGCAACATGACCAACAAAAGCCAATAAAGGTAGATAACAAGAACATGTTTCTCTTATATCCATTCTTACTCTGAATAAGGAAAAAATAGCAATGGTAATTTTGCTCACGTGTGTTGCACGAAAGAAAAGTTCAAGAATACGTGGAAAATAGTTTCTAGACATAATTATGACGTAAGAGAACCGTTTGACAACTATAATGGGACAAATTAAAGTAGAAGAATGTAAGTTAGTTATCTACCTGAGCGTTCATGTTTGCTCCATCCATGTACACTTGACCATTGTTGTCATGAATTATCTTACATATCTCATCGATGCCTTCCTCATAAACTCCATGAGTTGAAGGATATGTAACCTGATTTGAGCAAGTGTTTGAGAAACGCATGAAAGTTGCAACTATAAGTATCTTTAGGAAATCTTATACTTAAATATACCATAAGAGCAGCTAGATTTTCCTTATTTGCTTCAGCAGCCTTCCGTAACTCTTCAATGTTAATGTTTCCCTTGGCATCTGTTCCAACAGCAACAATTTTCATTCCACACATGGCAGCACTTGCAGGATTTGTTCCATGTGCTGAGACTGGTATGATACATACATCACGGTGGTGGTCTCCTCTCGACTACATTAAGAGTTGAATATAATCAGCAAAAAGAACAGAAAAATAAAAAAAAATTACGAACTACCCTAATCACCCCTAAGACAACGCGCTTGAGCAAAATATTCAGTTTTCGAAACAGGGGTTCCATAAATGGCCCCATGGAGTGTCGAGTGAATATAAAAAAATTTATAAGCCTTTTACTCATTTTAAAATCCTTGGATATCTTGTGATGGAACATTCTCTTCTAGCTCAATATAAGTATCCTTGAAGAGTAACATATACGATCTAGTACTATGACACTAACTTTGAGAAATTCTAACGTTTATGATTGTACTACAATACCAAATGATATGCACGAATGACCATCAATCCTGCATACTCGCCAGCAGCACCAGCATTGGGTTGCAGAGAGAATGAATCAAAACCAGTAAGTGTACACAACATTTCACCCAAGTTCTCGAACATTTCCTGAAAGAAGAATATCACAGTTCATTATTAACCATAAACATAAACTTTGAAATTCTATGGTCACAGAAATATGATTTAAGAGATTATATTTCAAGTGATTTATGATAACCTGATAACCCGCAGCCTGTTCATTAGGAGCAAAAGGATGGAGGTCTGCAAAGGCAGGCCATGTCACTGGCATCATCTCGGTGGTTGCGTTCAACTTCATAGTACAAGATCCCAACGGAATCATGCTGTGGCACAAAGAGAGATCCTTTGATTGAAGCCTAGAAATGTATCTAAGAAGCTCATGCTCAGTGTGGTATCTGCAGAATCAAACTACAAGTTAGATAGACTTGTGGAAACTTTGTATAAGATGATCAACTTCCATTTGTCCATACGAGTTAAATATTGAGTGAGTCAAATAGGGGCTCTCCCTCGCAAGCCCAGGGGGAATAACATTTTGAACCTCTGACGCAAGAGAAGCAGCAGTGAATGTCACCTGATGAACATAAAAAGTTAATAACATATAAATACTTGAAATATTACTCAGGTGCGTAAAACAAAATCGTTTCTTACAGGCTTGCCACTTGCAAAGACTTCAAAGAGCTTGTCCACATCTCCTAAAGTGGTTGTTTCATCAAAAGAAACAGTTATCTGAATGGCAAAAGTTTGTTATTTCCTGGTCAAAGCAGTAAATTTACAAATCAAGGTAACATAGATTTACACTTACAGTATTCTTGTCCACAATCCGCAAATTTATTTCGTTCTTATATGCAGCATCAGCAATGACTTTTGAGTCAGCACACTTGACCTTTACAGTATCAAAGAAAGGAAGACCCTGGACTTCTACAGTACCCAGTTTTTTCAGTCCAGCGGCAAATGTTCCGGCCAGACCATGAACCCTTTGGGCAATGGTTTTAAGGCCTTCTGGTCCATGATAAACAGCATACATAGCAGCCATGTTTGCCAACAATGCCTACAAAAACAAAAGATGACATTTAAAAAGACCTAATATAAAATATAGAACTTTCACTGAATATGAGCAGATCTAGTATCATAATCAGATTAATCAAGCTCGAAGTGACTTAGTGGATTATTAGCTGTTAAAACCGATTTCAAACCATCTAGTATTGCATAAGCAATTCAAGTACAGTTGAAAACAATCTTAAATTTGACAAAGAATCATTGTAAGGCAATAGAGAAAATTAAAGCTACCTGAGCTGTACAAATGTTGCTTGTAGCTTTGTCCCTACGAATATGTTGCTCCCGTGTCTGCATTGCCATACGAAGAGCAGTCTTTCCTGTAGCATCAACACTGACACCAATAATTCTTCCTGGCATCATCCTCTTGTACTCTTGGGATGTAGCCAAGAAAGCAGCATGAGGACCTCCATAACCCATCGGGACACCAAACCTCTGAGCTGAACCAACCACGATATCTGCTCCCAACTCACCCGGGGTTTTCAACATAATCAAAGCCAACAAATCAGATGCCATGACAACCTTAACTCCATTGGCATGTGCATTCTTAATAAACTCTCCATAATCCAAAATCTCACCCTCAGTTCCGGGATATTGCACTAGGACACCACAAACATCCCCTGATTTATAATCAATCTCGTTTACATCAGAAACGGCAACCTTAATCCCAAACCCATCAGCTCTAGTCTTACAAATATCAATAGTTTGGGGATGACAGTTACTAGCTATAACAAAGGTTTTCTTTTTCCCCTTCTGAATATTGTTACACATGGCCATTGCCTCTGCTGCAGCTGTCCCTTCGTCGAGCAAAGAAGCATTGGACATGGGCAATCCAGTAAGATCTGTAACCAATGTCTGAAAATTCAGCAGAGATTCAAGACGTCCCTGTGAAATTTCAGCCTGGTAGGGGGTATACTGCGTGTACCACCCCGGATTCTCCATAATATTCCTCAATATAACAGGAGGCACCAGAGTATTATAATAACCCATCCCAATATATGACTTTGCTACCTTATTCTTAGACGCCAAATTCTTCATGTGCTCAATCATTTGTGCCTCAGTCAATCCCTCATCAAATATAGGCAAGTTCATTTTATCAATACGAATAGATTTGGGCACTGTGGCATCAATGAGCGCATCAAGGCTATTGTACCCGACAAACTCGGCCATTTTGGTTTGCTCTTCCGGAGTGGCCGAGTTATGCCGGCGAGGAAATGTGTCATTGGGTTTCAGGGCCTCGACAGAAATGGATCGAGTCCCAACAAACTGTGCCATACTTCTCGAAGAAACATTATGGGCCCTAAAATTATTGTTACCTTGTACTGCACTCGGGGATAACGAGGAAACGTACCTGGAGGACCTGTACAATGCAGGGGATTCTGATAATTCTGAAACCAATCGTTTCAGAATTGCCCGGTTGGCCAATTTTCGTGCACGCTCCATTTCTTGAATTTATGAGCAAATATGAGATGGTGGTGGATTTGTATTTGAATGACACCCCCACAAAGGGATGAAGAAACAGAGCGAAAATATAGAGCTTTTGTCTAGTGCTCTGTTGCACTAAGGTTGGCTATCTTTTGTATATATTTTGGTTTTTATCTTTCCATGATCTCAAAAGTGGGTGGTGGTAAGTGATTTGTTGAAGATGCAGTCTTTATTATACTGGTCATATTTGTCGTGTTCTATACAGCTTAAAATTCAATTAAAATTGAAAATATGGTCGTTATTGGGTCTCACTCGTCTAATAAAAGTCAACAATAACGACTAGTTTTTCAATTTTAGGCCCTGTTCGGGAGGGANTGTTGGAAGTATTTGACAAGTTTCAAACGGATTAAAGAAAATAAAATTTAGGATAATTTAAGAGAAGAAAAATGTACTCTTAAAATTTAATATTTATGATCCAAATTAGTTCTATAAAAGTAATATTTAATACAAATTTGTTGGGAGTATTTGATGGTCTTAAACGAACTAAAGAAAGTAAAATTTATGACAGAAATTTAAAAGAAGAAAATTGTACTATCAAAATTTAACTTTTATGATTCAAAAAAATTTTTATGACGAAATACTGCAAATAAACAATATTTTTATACTACATAGAATTAATTGCTAATACATTAATTTAAACACATTAAAATTCCTAAATACATGAATAGAAATAAATTCATTTATAATAATTTTAGATTCATGCAGATCATTCATTAATTTAAACACTCATTAAAATTCCTAGAAAAAAGTACTTTGGGAAGGACAGTGCTAGATGGCCCGGCTCAATGACCGGGCCATCATACAGGTGCCGACGTGGCACCATACAATTGGAGGGGGGGCTGATCGACGTCAGCCCCCTCTCCAATCACAGGGCGCCACCTCGGCGCCCTGTCAAATGCCCCGGTCATTGAGCCGGGGCATTCAGTTTAATCCCTTTGGGAAAGATGAGAATCAGACATCTCCTAAAACTTATTATTCTAGTAGGAAGTTTGTTTCCAAATTTTCATTAATAATTGTACATGCAATTATTAACGAAAAGACCATCTAGATTTTCATTTAATTCTTATGTGATCCGCACATATCTAACTCATAAATCAATTTATTATGGTTGCACGATCAAACTTCAACAATGAAAATAATACAAATCAACGCTCACATATTTCGACTATAACTTAGGTTGGTGTTCAAAACATTAAAGACTCGAGTGAATTGTGTTTTTACGATGGGTTTGTCAATACATCAACTTAAACACTTCCTTCTTAACATGGTCGTTCGTGTAACTAGAATAAAATGTTAGAAACTATTTCGTATCTTTTTAACGTTTGAAGACCAACTTACGTTAAATTTGATATTTTTGGAAATGTAAATAATCAATTCCAAGGTTGGTGATGGTGGGTGCAGACTAAACTTTTAAGGCTCTCAAAATCTTGTCTTATTCAAGGAGGCTCTGCAAGCCAATGATTTTTGGTAAATCTATCTTTATGTGCGAAGTTCTTGTAAATGAGCAAAATATTTGTGGATTTTGTGTAGCAATTTTAAAATGAATGGAAGGGAATGAATTAGAAGGGATTGAGATTCAGTGGATCAAATTGAATGGATTAGGAAAATTTTATTGGGCATGAAAATTCAGCCTAAAAAATGAGGGAATTTTTGTTGGCAGCTTCTCTTTCACATTTGGCTTATCTTATTTTCTCACCTCACACCAAGAGAAATAAGGAATGGAATTAAGCTTCACATATATTAGAAGATATGAATCATATCTTTAGATTTTATTCATTATCAACTAGGATTAATGTTTGAACAAATGGTGACCACGTCGAAGATTTCGCTTCATTCGTACTCAAAAATATCGTACTGTTACTGTAAGAATGAAATATCTAATTTTGTACCTACGAGAGTAATATAAAAAACAAAAAATTGAAATTAAGAACACACGATCTCAAGTGATACACTATAATAAAATATAAGATTACAATAAGTGAAGAACCCACATCTCTCTTTTATTTTATTTTTTATGTTGAAAATGAAACTCGCCTTAATACCCTTGTATAAAAAGGATATTAGAATTGAAGAGGGGTAGACTCATACAACTGCTAAGAAAAATCTTATATTAAGTGTTGGCATGTTTGAGTTTATTTAGAAGAATTTCTGGATTCCTATTGATGGTACAATTTTGATTAATTGATTATATGGGGGAGTTGGTGAATCTTGCATTGAATATAGGTTGGATTTCATTCTCTTAGAAGCTATTTTACAAAGATTTGCAAGATAAGGACGGAAGGAGGACCAAACATACTTGAAGAGCGCAGTACAACGGAGAGTTGTATGGTTTTAGGATTGGGTTTGTTACAAAATCCAGATTTAAAAACTCTCGAACTATGATTAGTGCAATAATTCTTTGATGTTTCTTTTCTCCTAGAATTCTGGTCTAGGAATAGCAATGATACGAATAGTGAAAATACAATAATGTGGTTATTCGAGAATTTAGGGTAGGGCCCTGTTTGGGAGAAATTTTAATCAAAATTCTAATCGTTAACTATCAAATCAGCCACCATTTTTGACTTTTCCTCTCATAGGTGGGGCCCACGGGTTGACTATAACGGCTATAATTTTGATTAAAATCCCACAAAAATTGCTCCCAAACACGTTATAGATGTTCCTCAACGTCTAAAGTCATTGCCTAGGACAATACAACGTTATGAAAACATTCATAATAAACCTATAATACCATACATTGTTTGATTGTGACTTCTAAGTTAGGTAATTGTAATTGTCAATTACAAAATTATGTTAATATATAGTTTCGCGTATGCATCTACAATTTAAAAATGTGACCTAAAACACGGGACTTGAAAATTTGTCATTTCGAGTGAATATTATCATTACGTTGTGTGACTTTGCTTATGAGGTTGTGTGATTATGATATAAAATATCTATAATACATTGTGTGACTACAAATGTACTACTTTTTGTGATTGTGACTTATAAGATTGTTATAACATTCGTTCATAGATATGTGACAGAATTTTGTGGCCTCATATATTTTTGAATATGATCTAAAACATGTCTATTGAAAATTTGTGGCTTCGAGCAAGAATTGTGACCTAATTTCAAGGCTTTAATAATTTGATTTTCTATTTCCATATTATGTGTTTTGAAATCTATTCAAGGTGATAATTAACCTTCAAATCCAAAATTACTTACTACATACATTATTTGACAATGTAGTTTTAAACTTTTAAAAAACATAATTTGTATATAATTAAAACCTATTTTTTGAAAAAAAAAAATACTCTAAATAATTCGATTAATGATAATTAAATCTTAAAAATCATGGTTTTGCTTAATGTTAGTGGCACATGAAAGAACTTGGTACACAGTCATCAAAGTTAAGCTGACATCACACTTACTCGAGGTAATTCATTCCGATTTATGTGGACCTATGAGAATTGAAACACATAGAGAGGAATGAAATACTTTATTATGCTTATTGATGATTTTTCAAGGATTGGATACATTTATTTGTTAAAGCATCATTCGGAGGCTTTAGAAACATTTAGAGGGTGTTTGGTGGAGATTAAAATTAATTTTTTATTGGATTGTGATAGAAGTTTTTGAAATGTGTGATTGAAAATATGTAGAACCCATTAAAGATGTGGTTAATATTGATGATTTGACTTTCACTTAGATTAAAATCAGATTTTAATTCAATCCAAACAGACCCTTATAAAGCTGAACATATATCGTGCACTTGAAGAACGAGCAAACACGAGAAAGTGTATACAAAGTACTTTTTTATTTTCTTTTTTCGAAGCCTTTTCTTTGAAGAAGTTACGTTAACACAGCATAACTGAAATACAACATTGTTTTCCAGCAACTACAGGAAAGTGAGGAAACAACACAAAAAGGGAAAGGCAGAGGGGAAAAGCCAAATATACTGAGTTTGTCTCTAGCATCTACTCGCCAAAGGGCGATGAAAAGCGGAGCAAAAGAAAGGAAACATTTATGCATCAAAAAGTCGAATCAAGCCCAAATGTCCGGAGAAGACATCAATCCCGTGCCTAAGAAGAGAGCAAATATGGCATTACCTGGAGCTTCATGTTGCAGCTCATTTTCTTACTCGAGATCGGCTGCAATCAGATACATGAGTGCCATGTACACCAAAATTCCAGCAGATATTGAATCGAAAATACCTTCAATGACCAAAGCTCTAGAACTCTTAGGTTTGTAACTTGAAGAAATGGCAATCCCAATAGCGATTCCTGAGCCTTGCCGGCTACAGATGTTGAGTTGTTTGATGTATTGAGCCTTG